TTTCAGATATTTCATCACCTTCACGGATGATTACTCTCGTCATGGATGGATTGAACTCTTGCGTGAAAAGGGCGAGTCCTTAATGCATTCAAACCTTTAAAGCAGCAGTCGAATTGAAATCTGGCAAGTTGATCAAGTGTGTGAGATCTGATAGAAGAGGAGAATTTTATAGGAGATATACTGAGACTGGCAGGAACCCTGGGCCATTTGCTTTGTACCTTCAAGAGCATGGCATTGAAGCTCAGTATACTATACCTGGCACCCCACAGCAAAATGGGGTTGCAGAAAGGCGGAATCGTACTCTCATGGATATGGTTAAGAGCATGATCAGTCACTCCTCACTGCCAGAATTCTTGTGGGGTGATGCACTCAAAACTGCTATTTATATTTTGAATCAAGTTCCTAGCAAGTCAGTTCCAAAGACTCCATATGAGTTGTATTTTGGAAGGACTCCTCCACTGAAGCATATGCGAGTTTGGGGTTGTAAAGCATAGGTAAAACCTTACAATCCACAACAGATGAAGCTTGATGCTAAAACTGTTGATGGTTTCTTTATTGGCTATTGCATCGGATCTCGTGGGTACAGATTCTATTGTCCAAATCACACTACTAGGGTAATTGAATCTGACCGAGCTTACTTCTTTGAAGATGCCTTAGACAGTGGGAGATCTGTGCTTAGGCATATTACCTTGCATGACGAAAGTAGCATTTTGCCTATGCCTATCTTGACAACTCCTCATGTTGACAGAAATAATGCCGTGGATCAGAATGAAGCTCAAGATGAACCACCTTTAGAGGGTGATAGGGACATAGTTGTTGAACCGAGACGGTCCAAAGGGTTCGCAGGTCTGCTATTCCAGATGATTACATGGTATATTTGCAGGAATTTGATTCAGATGCTATTGATAGCTTAGACCCAATGTGTTACCAGGAGGCTATTTCTAGCTCGCATTCTTCTGAATGGTTGGAGGCTATGAGTGAAGAAATTGCCTCTATGTACCGCAATCACGTATAGGAGCTTGTAGAGCTACCAAAGGGGTTTAAACCAGTGGGTTGCAAGTGGGTCTTTAAAACAAAACGAGGAGCTAGGGGTGAAATTGATAGATATAAAGCCAGACTTGTAGCTAAAGGCTACAACCAGAAAGAAGGTATTGATTACACAGAAACCTTCTCTCCGGTATCCACCAAAGATGCTTTTAGAGTGGTAATGGCTTTAGTTGCACAGCTTGATCTTAATCTTCACCAGATGGATGTCAAGACTGCATTCTTGAATGGCGATTTGTATGAAGAAGTCTACATGACACAACCTGATGGTTTTGTTGAATCCGGTAAAGAACATCTAGTGTGCAGATTAAAGAGATCCATCTATGGTCTGAAACAAGCCTCTAGGCAATGGTATCTGAAATTTGATGAAGTTATCACCTCTCTCGATTTTGTTGAGAATGTCTCAGATCAGTGCATCTATCAGAAGTTTGATGGGAACAATTTTGTCATTCTTGTTCTCTATGTTGATGATATCTTATTAGCCAGCAATTCAATAAATTTCCTCAATGAGATAAAGCACCTATTGTCTTGTCATTTTGACATGAAGGATATGGGTGAAGCCTCCTTTGTTCTTGGGATACAAATTCATCGTGATAGATTTCGTGGTATTCTTGGTTTATCACAGGCCACTTATATTGAGCGGGTACTTAAGAGATTCAAAATGGATTCATGTTCTCCTTCACCTGCTCCTGTACAGAAAGGTGAGCTGTTGTCAAAGTCACAGTGTCCCAAGGATGATAAGAAGAGGGCTGAAATGAGAAAGATACCATACGCTTTCGCTGTCGGCAGCCTTATGTATGTTCAAGTGTGTACTCGACCAGATATAGCCTTTGCTATTGGAGTGCTGGGTCGATACTTAAATGATCCAGGTCCGGATCATTGGAAGGCTGCTAAGAAAGTTATGAGGTATCTTCAAGGTACAAAGAATTATATGTTGACTTACAGAAGGTCAAATTCCCTTGAGATTGTTGGGTATTCTGATTATGAATTTAAGGGATCAGAAGATCTTGAGATTGTTGGCTTTTCAGATTCAGATTTTGCCTCTTGTCTAGATGATCGTAAATCCACGACTGGCTATATTTTCATGTTGTCTGGAGGAGCTGTCTCTTGGAAGAGTGTGAAACAGACACTTACGGCAGTTTCATCTATGGAAGCTGAGTATATTGCTTGCTTTGAGACTACACGTCACGCTATATGGCTGAGGAAGTTGATATCTGGCATGCACCTAGTTGAGTCAATATCACGTCCTCTAACCATTTATTGTGATAACAAATCTGCAGTATACTATGCTAACAATCACAGAAATTCCAGTCATACAAAGCATTTTGATATCAAACTTATGTTTGTGAAAGAGAAAATTGCTGAGTCTCAAACCCGTGTGGTACACATTCCTGGCACGCAGATGCTTGCAGATCTGCTGACTAAGGGCTTACCTGTAGAAGTTTTTCAAAATCATGTAACTTGTATGGGTATTATGAATTCCTTTGATGCCCTAGTTTAGTGAGAGTTTGAGAACCTTCTTTGTTGCAATTTCTCTTTAGGCTTTGTTTTCTTCTGTGAGTTATGTTCAGTTCAATTAGATGCGTCTATATCATTTGTATCCCTATAGGATTCAATGATTCTGTTGTGGTACGCTATGCATGTCACTTGTTTCCCCATAGGAATCAGTGATTTATGTTGTTATCTTACTGAGCTGTGTTTGAAATAAAATTTCATATTTTACTCAGATTATGAGATATCATATCACTTGTTTCCCCATAGGATTCAGTGATTTTGTGGAGTTTCATTTTCTGAATTTGTTTGTGGCTTGTTTATACAACTTGCTTAATTAATGCAATTCAAGTGGGAGATTGTTGGAATATTATTTATGAATTAGCATTAATTAATAAGCCCAATAAATTGGTCCTTATGATCTTGTGTGGACCGTGATAGGTGGACCACACAAGTGAGCTCAATGGGTAGAGGCCCAACCCACAACCCAGTAGCCGTCAGTTATTTCTTATCTCTTAACTAACTGAGTCAGAGATAATAGATAATATAATTATTTAATTATATTAATAAGGCGGTTACCGATCTGATCTATATAAGACGATTAGTCGGTAACCACAAACATACGACTCATTTTCTTCTACTTCCATTATCTCTAAACTCTCTGAAGGCTCTGGGGACTTGAGGGTTGTGTACCTGCCCATACTCGAGGTAATCAAGATTTCTCTAGCACTCATGGATTCTTCAGGTACGCATGAATTACTTTATTCTATCATATTTTATTATACATATGAATTGAGATATTTAGATTCAACACTTCTCTCTCCTTTATTCCTTCTAATTTTCAATTTCTTAAGCAAGATCCTTGGCTGAAGGTTTCTAATATTTCATGTTCTCGTCCGGTCTCTAAAGTTCACAGTATACTTAATTGATCATGACACTCTGATAATTAATCAAGTTTGGATGTTAATATTAATGCACATATCCTCATATGCCATCACGGCATTGGCAAAGAAGTTGCATTTTTGTTGAAATGAAGGTTAATGAGAATTAGAGTCATGCGTAATTGTCCCGTTGGCCCTTGTAAGCGAGTTTAATATAAATAAAATATTGAATACTTATACTTTAAAATAATTTAGCCATCCACCATATTTATGCGTACCAAATGCTCAAAAAGCTATTGGGCCACCAAACCAAATGACATGGAAGGTTATAGCAGCTCCTCACCTACCCACCCAAAACTTGACAAAGCCGAACCACACAACTTTGACCAGCGATCATGCTAATGATCAATTCTAATAACGTCAACCGACCTTTTTATTTTTTAAATGGCTTCCTGGTTTGGTGGTGCAGGGAATAAAATGAGAAACAAGAATAAAAACTTTTAAAGAAAATTACTTTTGTTTGAATAATACCAAATTGAAAGGATTGCAAGGGTATAAATAAATTTAAAAATAACGAGCTTATTATATTTAATTTTTTTTAGCAATTTAAGAAAATTAACATAAAAAGATGAAACTTGTTGCAACTGAAAACTGTAATTTGTGGAAATGAGAATCTGGTCACAGAGCAAAATTTTGGGATGAAAGAGTTGGAGGTATAAACATAAAAGTTATGAATAGAGCCGATTTCAATGAAGAAAAGCTAGACATGCATCTAGGATTTGAGTCCAACCAAAAGATTTCTCCCTTCAATATTTAAATAAATTATATTTTTAATAAATTAATTAATTATTTTTCTTATTTTATATTTATTTTTGTTTACTATGATATGTGTATTAAAATAATTTTATTAATTAGACTTTTAGTTGAGAATATTTCTTAAAAATCATTAATTATAAATCTAAAGATCCAAAATGCTTACAATTTTTACCATCTCACCTAAAAAAATGTAATATTTTTTACTAAGTAGTATTGCTTATAGGACCCCACACAACTTTTAGAAGAAAAAAATGACAATAAAATCTCTCTAAAATATATAAATAATAATTTAATCTCTTAAAATATTATAATTCTTCTATAGTCTTTCGAAAATTTTCTATTATTAATGAATTTATATAAATTATCAATTTATCCTTCTTAAAAATAAATTATACACAAATTTTGTTTAAATATTCACAATTTTTTTATATTATTAATAATACAATAACAAATCATAACTTCATGTATTAATTCATTATTTGTTGTTGTATTATTGCAAATATAAAAAAAAGTTGTGCATATTAAAACAAAACTTATAAATCATTTATTTTCAATAAAGTAATTTAATAATTTATATAAATTTATTAATGATAAAAAAGTCACTAAAAATTTTAAGAAAATTATGACATTTTGAGAGATTAAATTATTATTTACATATTTTAAAAGATTATTATTATTATTTAAAAAAAAAAAACCAGGCAGACGAGTTGCTTGAGGCAGGGTAGGTGAGAACTGATTTTCCTATAATTACACCTTTTGCCCTTCAACCTCTCAACAACCTTGTTTTCCCTCTACTCTTCCTTCCTCCCGTTCATCTTCTTCCTCTCTCCTTTGATCCACTATAATCTAATGGCTTCCTCCATCTCTTCCAAGCCATTCCTATCCGGTGCTTTTTCTTCCTTCAATTCGGATGGCCGTTATCTTTCCTCCGCCGTGGTTCAAATCTCTGTTCGCCCTGGCACTCCCAAGAGACTGCGTGAGTTCTCTCTCCCTCTCTTCTCTCCATCTTAAATTTCGATTTTTATTTTTCGAATCTGTTTATTCCCGTCGCAGTATTTTCTTCTTCTTCTTGTTTTTTTTTTTTTAAAATTGAAAGTGTAAGTAGTTGAAGTGAGGATAGTTTGGGCTTATTCGCATGTTGCTTTGTCATTAGTGACAGTTTTTTTCTATATGTGATTGCTTTATAAACTTTACATAAAACGTGAAAAAGAAATGCTGTATATATGAATTTGAAGGATTTACATAATTAACAATGCCAGGTATCCTACCTGGTTACTGTCGTAATTTCTTCCATATTTACGGAAAATGAGAGTTTCAGAACTTGTGGAATTGTTAAATGCTAAACTCGATGGATCATATAAAATATTTTGTACTGATGCCTGTGATAATTACAGAGATACAGGCAGCAGGTAGTACCTATGGAAATTATTTTCGTGTGACAACATATGGAGAATCTCATGGAGGAGGTGTTGGTTGCGTAATTGATGGATGCCCTCCTCGTCTACCACTATCTGAAGCGGACATGCAAGTGGATCTTGATAGGAGGTATTTGCCAACTGGATTTTTTGACTAATACTTCTCCTGCATAGCGAATTTAGCAGTAATGAGTAATTATTGGTTATGCTTTCTTGTGATTCGAAATGTCTTCTAACTAATAAATTTACCAACTTTTTGTTTATAGGAGGCCAGGTCAGAGCCGAATTACTACTCCCAGAAAAGAGACTGATACGTGTAAAATATTTTCAGGAGTTTCTGAAGGTCAGTCTTCATTCCAATCATCATTAACTGAGAAGTTCATGATACACGTAAATTATCTGAAAGATAATGTGTGCACTGTAGGAGTTACTACTGGAACGCCAATTCATGTATTTGTTCCCAACACTGATCAGAGAGGACATGTGAGTATCTAATGCTAAAGCTAATTTCATATTTCTTTGAGAAGTATTTAATAATGAAAAGGAAAAAGGCTATGGGCCTTCCCCCCCCTTCTGTACTTTAAGTGAGTGTTCGACATATGCACTGTGAATGGCCTTTTATAATGGCATTTCAATTTATAAAAGAAACTTTGGATGGTTGGGAACTTGTGTGGACGAACATATAGAAAAGTTTCTATTATATGAAAACTCTTCCGTATGCTTTAGTTGTACAATCATTGAAATATTTGAGAGCTTTCTAGAGTAGTTTTCATAAGATGGAAGAGCATATTAAACTCTTCTCTGGCACTCACTTGTCTGCACGTGACTAAGCAAAATCATTTTAGATATATATTTGATAAATTTATGACAGTTAACTTTTGTAATCCTCATAAATCATTTTTACTTGTAATGGTAGCAATAATGTTCTATGATTATTACTAACAAGTTCACACAAAGTAATATTCAATGTATTTTTCCCTGCTTGAAGTTTTTCCCCCATTGTATCATCTCATTGTCAGGATTATAGTGAGATGTCATTAGCTTATAGACCGTCACATGCAGATGCCACTTATGATATGAAGTACGGTGTGCGATCAGTGCAGGTACTAAGTTTTGTAATGGGATGTCATGGCAGCAGTGGCATTCTATGTCAATTTAGTGATGAGTGAGATGTTTTATTCCATGAAATTTTCATTAAGCTCATGCTTGTGACCTCCTCACATTTAAGGGAGGTGGTAGATCTTCTGCAAGGGAAACCATTGGAAGAGTTGCTTCTGGTGCTGTTGCTAAGAAAATCCTTAAGGAGTTTTCTGGAACTGAGGTGCGTTGCCTGTTTATGTAATTGAGTAGTTCTAGTGTTAAACTTGTGTTTTATTGTGATGTGCATCATGGGATGGATATATTCAGGCATGTGTGTGCTTTTCAATTTTCTGTTTTTGTCATGTTTTAAGTTGGCTACACATGCAAATTGTTTTATTTTTGTTTTGTATTTTAGAAGACAGTAAATGGAGTCAGACACTCTACGAAATGAATTTAGGATAAAGATAAGGACTCTAGTAATTCCCTAGCATTCATTGCAATCACCACAAATGATCTAGAACTATCTTATACTATGACTGATATGTAAGATACAGGCCTCAAGAAGTTTGACCATGGAGCTTAGGAAGACCCCTTAGGCCCCTATCGGGGCACATATATTATATATATTGTTTCCTTTGTTGTGTCATGCACAACTGCTATAGCTGTGATGTATTATTCTAGATGGCATGCAGTCAGTAGTGTTCAATAACAATAAAGTATGATTTCCTCTCATAATGGCATGCAGCATCTGTTGCTAGTGATTACGAACTGATGTTTATGGCTGCATTACTGACTGCCCTTGTTTTGAATCTTCTTATATTGCTCGTTACAATGAAGTGGTATTTTTCTTTTTATTAATATTTTCTTCCTCTTTATTGTTTCTTACTTCCTTTATGTATTTCCACTTGTTGAAATTATAATTTTCTGAATATCAGATCAGAACTTGCTTGAGCTAGTTTTTCTAGATGTCTCTTATAATATTTCATCTCTATCAATTTAATTTTTAACATTATGCCAGCTTTTGTTCTACTTAAAGAACTGTTATTCAATCAGAGCAAGCTTATCACTGCTAGACTTATGTGCTTTTATCCTTTTTCTTCTTTCCAATCTGCAATTTCTTTAGCAAGATCCTTGACTAAAGGTTTTTTATGACTCAGGTTCTTGCTTATGTCTCTCAAGTTCACAAGGTTGTTCTTCCTGAGGACCTAATTGATCATGACACTCTGACACTTGAACAGGTATCAAAGTTAATATGCATGTAATATACTTATTAGTTTTCTCATTGTGCTATTTGAAGTAGGTTCTGTTTTAAAACGTGTTGATGCTCCCACCCCCCCCCCCCCCAAAAAAAAACAAGTGTGGAAAATTTCTATGTTTAGTGATTTACCAAACCTTGTGAAGAAGCCCATCCTCACCTATTTTATTAATTTAGAAAGGAGCTTTCCAATATGCAGTCTTTGCTAGAATGTGTTTTGCAATTTGTGCCTATCTAGCGTCACTACATTGCAAAGCATATTGACTGCCATCCCTTCTTTGTGGAAATTTCTTCGTCAGCACAGTAATTTTACTTTTCAAGAACCTAATTCCATCATTGGCATTCTGATGCTGAAATCAACGAACATTTTTTTTTTCTGGATGAAAATTGGCTGATCATCACAGTAATGAAATAATATATACATATATATTTCTTTATGGTTGTTTGTTATTTTTTTAATTGTGAAATTGTTTGCCACTTATTGGAGATTGGTCCAGATTGAAAGTAACATTGTCCGATGCCCCAACCCAGAATATGCAGAGAAGATGATAGCTGCTGTTGATGCTGTCCGGGTGAAAGGTGATTCTGTTGGTGGAGTTGTAACATGCATTGTGAGGAATTGCCCACGTGTAAGTATCTCTTCATATTTTCTATCAAGGCCTCAAGCGAAATGTCTGAGCAAGCTAATTAGTAGGATTTCAAGCATAGTTAAACTGTTAATAAAAATAAATAAATATCTTTAAGAAAATTTAGGATTTTTTTGTCAAGCTGATGTTCTGGGCTTACATTGTTTAGTTTGAAATTAAACACCTATGGTCTTGGTTGATAATTGATTTGGAAATCCATAAATTTCTGGCATGTGACTAAAAACCTTTGAAAAGTCTGGAATAAAATGGAATTCGGGCCTGAATTGCACCTCGACTTGCTATGCCTATAGCCATCTTGCACTAGCAGAACTTAAGATCCTTCCTTCCATTTGTGGCATGTTTTGTTACCCCTAATAGAAATGAAGTTATGATTGCCTAATCCCTTGACATTGATAGGACCCTCTATTCTAACAAGCTTTAAACAAGCAAAAACCAGAAAAATACACTTCAAATGGGACTGAAAATACTGTTACTGAATATCTAAATTGGATTACAAGAGAAATAATGATTCAAGTTAATCTCATCTCCCTCATAAGCTCATACACTTAAATTACAGTTACAGAGAAACAGCAAAAAATACACCCACAGAACAGAATCACAAAACATAAGCTGCTCACTCACTCGTAACACCCACTAGGCAGAAAGATCAAAGGATGAAGCAAACACAAGCCACTCAATAATGCACACTAAAATATAAAAATAAAATGATGAAGAAAGGTGATCTTCTCGAACCCCAATCTGGCTTTCGAGAGGCTAGAACTCTCCTCACTTGACCGCCATTTTCCAAAATACTCCACAACCTCCATCTACATGAACATACATATTTAAAGAGCCCAAAAGTAGGTTGCCCCTGTCAAAACACTACCTAGTTTCACCCCACTACTTTTCTGCCTCAATTGGTCCTTAGCCATTGGATTTTCCTTGAAACCAATAGTCCCATCTTTTCTGCCCTTTTGCCATTCTTTTATGTTTCCTTTTGTGAGCTTTGACATTGACAAGTGATGGGGTCTTATCAGACATCTTCTGGCCCTAATATTTGGTATTTTAGTAACTTGCATGATTCTGAAATGTCCTTGCATTGATGTGTTTGTTTTCTTGCATGTCTGACACCTTATAAGAATTATCTTTTCAAACTTAAGACTTTGTTTCCAATGTTGTGTCATATCATTAAATTTATCTTTTATTTTTCCCCATGGAGAACTGACATAACTATTTATCAGGGGCTTGGTTCACCTGTATTTGACAAACTTGAAGCTGAACTGGCTAAAGCTATCATGTCACTGCCTGCGACGAAGGGCTTCCAGTTTGGCAGTGGGTTTGCAGGTTGCTCAACTTGCTTATATATCGCTCTTATTTCTTTTGTCCTTTTAAGATTACAGACTTATCTAAATGAATAGACATTAGTTTAGTAATTTCCTTCAGTGCTCGTATCATAGGCATTCTGATGGCTTAATGGAACCATTACAGGTACTTTTTTAACTGGCAGTGAACACAATGATGAGTTTTATGTAGATGAACAAGGAAAGATGAGAACAAGAACTAACCGCTCAGGTGGCATTCAGGTATGTCTTATGTTCTATAACTTCTTGGGTGTTTCTTTGTCTGCAATATGATGTTCATGTAATAATATATGCCTTGCTAATATATTATCTGTATTGACAATTAGGGTGGAATTTCCAATGGCGAGATCATAAACATGAGAGTAGCTTTCAAGCCAACATCTACCATTGGAGTAAGCCAAATATTTGTTTTTTCTGTACTTGTGAATCTAGTCTCACTCACCTCACTCGCATTGAAGTGCAAACTCATACTTATAAACATAAATGTGCACAAGGCTATTAGAAGGGAGAGTTAGTTGAAAGCGGTTGGGGTCAGTGTAGCTTGATAGCACCTCTTTACTACCATGCATCTAGGGTTGATGGATTAGCATCTTGATTTAAGCATCACAGACGATGATTTTAAACCTCACAGCTATATACTACGTAGCAGCTTCAAATATTATAAAATGCTGTAAAGAATAAGCTGACAATGCCATTATTTTTAATGTTTTGTTGAACAATTTGGATTTGATTGGATGGACTTGTACAAGTAAAACAGAAAGTTAACGAAACAAAAATATCGGCAAAGAATAAAAGTAGGCATCAAAAGCATAATGCCTTGAAGCGCTTTAAGCTGATTTTACCATACAGAAAAACTTAATGTAGTAAAATAAGTGATTTTTGTGTTTTAAATGGGAGTATTAAGGTATGCTTCTGACTAGCATGGTTGTGCGTCCAAGCACTGTCTGTAGTTCACTATACAGGCACACAATTGTTTTGATTAATATCTTTCAAATTACATTTATATGGTAAATATAGTGTTGTGAAAGTGTCGAACCATGCTTTTGACTTGCTAAGAGAAAATACCACGTTAGAAGAGTTTGTAATTTTCTCTGTCAATACATTGATTTACTCAATACTGTTCCCTAGCGATGAGTTCATAACTTATATTGTAGACGAAATAAATGAAGTGACCACAGCCTATAGGCAATAAAATGGAAACGAAAGAAGCCATTTCTACCCCTTCTTCCTTCCCCATTTTTTTAGCTGATTGAGTGGTTTGTTCAATATATCATTTTACTGTCCTTAACATGTGATAGAAAATGTGACACCTTTTGCCACTTGCGCAGAAAAAACAGCATACGGTGACCAGAGATAAGAAAGAAACAGAGCTAATAGCCCGTGGTCGCCATGATCCTTGTGTTGTCCCTAGAGGTAAATAACTGTCTTCCTTGTTTCGTCTTTCCGGTCTACGCTTTAATTTTTTATCTTGAGATTATATACATTTTAGTTTCTAAACCTTTTTTCCATTATCAATTTAATTCCTGAATTTTGATTTAGTACAATTTAATTCTTGTAGTTTATTGAGTTCAGAAATTATGAGGACTACGTTGTACCAAATCAAGAAACTATAAAGACTGAGTTGTTTTGAGTCAAAGTTCATGGATTGAATCAATAGTTGAGAAAAAAGTTCAAGGACTAAAAGTCATACTTCCTTTTATTTTTCTATATATTTATTAAAGCTGTCAAGACAGGTTTGCTGAAAGGTGAATTATCACATGATTTGAAAGGGAAAATAAATTTGTTTAGTGACAACTCTCTTCTATGGACAAACTAATAGACAGGATGATTAGGATTTGTAACATGGCATATTTTCACCTTTTGTTTACACCACTCTCGCTTGGAGAAAAAGCACTTTCTGATACATTTTTTAATTGACTGTTAATGCAGCTGTACCCATGGTAGAAGCCATGGTAGCTTTGGTTCTTGCGGATCAATTGATGGCACAATATGCTCAGTGTAATCTGTTTCGTGTCAACCCTGACTTGCAAGAACCATTATTGCCCGTGTTAGAGCCGGCCGAAGTACCTTTTTGAAAGAAGATGAAGGCAAGTGTACCATAAATTAAATTTCAGTGCTGGTCAGTAGTATTTAGTTATGAAAGAAATTTCTTTCAGTGTGAGACTTACGCAAGTTCTCGGAATTTCTCTCTCTTCAAGGCTTTTTTTTTTCTTTCTCTTTCTTTTTGCGTAAACAACAGGGGGTTTAGTTTTGGTTGTGCTATGTCATTCATGTTGAATGTATTTTGCTCATCCAGGTCATAATAAACGACTAGATTTCCATGGTTGCTAAATGTGTCAAGGAGCTTGTGATTCTTATATCCAGTCCTCGTGTTTATATTTGTAGTGAAAGCGAACATGATGTCAAAAATTCGATTTCAACATGCATCGGACGTGTGGTATTATATGGGTTTTAACACTATTGTGTTTGGTTTCAGTTTATAGTTGATCATATATCACATACTATACAAGCATAGGGGAAAAAGTGGAAGTTACTCGCATGTGTAATTAATATCTTTTGTTCTTTATATATATATATATATATATATAATGACTGCTCGACCATAATATGAATATATTATTATCCTTCATTGCAAGAAATTAACGTTAGCAAGTATTAGGCCTTTGCCAACATTGAATATAAAACTATGCTTTTCGGTGCACATGATTAGTTAGTTGATAAGGATGAATTTCACTTTAGTTTTGGACGCCGCACATCTTCCAAACCGACTAAATTCAGAGCCTCTGATGTCGTATTGTAAGCAATAATTTCATCTGGCAAATGCGTACTTATATTCTCTTCATGACCCGAGGACCTGCACTTATATTCTTCTGGATATACTCCCTCCTGTCCTATCCACAATATTTGACATTTTTTATAACCCTTGTTTGGTTTAAAATATAAAATATTAAGTAATTTTTATGATTGTTTTTCTAATTTTACTCTTATTTTATTTATTATTTATTTTAAAAAAATTCAGTGACATTTCAATTATTATTATCAAGACATTTATATAGAAATTTAATGAGAATGTAATTAAAAAAAATATATATTTTTAAATGTTAAGGCTTCAATTTATTTTTTCTTTGGAAAGCCATGGAATAGTTACCATGCCAATGTCTTATGAACCAGAGGGAGTTTATCGGATCATTTCTAAGTTCAACAAATGGTTCAATTTAGAAGGATTACGATGTTAATTAAAACGTTTATTTTGATAAGACATCAATATCAATTATAACAAAAAAATGCGTGTTGTCACTTATACGCATAGAAAGCTTACTTGCCAAATAATGAAGAATTCCATACACATCTTTCAATTAGTTTATGCATCATTCATGCATGATGATAGACGTTTCCAATATAAACACTAAAATATTTGTGATCACATCCATCTAATCAACCTAATCCTAGTGATCAATTTTTTTTAATTAAATTACAACTGCCAACCCAATTAGATACTGTGATCTCTTAGGTTGGAATCCACCAATTAGATACTAGTCTCAACATATAAAGCCAATTAGTCACTGGTTAAGCATATAAGATTTTGTTTTTAATAATTTATGTAGATACTAATTTGATCTGTCAAATCCTTTTCATTGATTTAAAATTGGTTTCCTTCCGCAATGGTCCGATTGACAAGGATATAATTCATAACTTTTTTATGAAGATCTAATTCATATATTCTTTTTGATTGATTTAAAATTGATTCTCTTTGGCAACAGTCTGATTGGCAAGGATACAATCCATACTTTTACAAGTATGAGAATTCAAATCATGTTACTAATATGGTAATAAAAAGCCTAAGAATTTGGTGAAAAATAATTTTGTTGTTGTAAACAACAGAGAGTGCATGTCTAGTGTGAAAACGAAAGATTAATAACTTGGAAAATTCAGACGTACTAAAGATCAAGAAAAATGATGATGATGATCGATCTCATAACATTGAAAGTTGAACTATATATGTGATAACAATAACAAACCCAAAAACAATATATTACAAACACGGCACGTAATCGCTCAACCCCACTGGTCCATTGTCATTCTTTTGGTCCTCATGATTAATCAACAATCCCTCTATGCATTATAAAAGTAAAACTATAACCATATATATTCCATTCTTTTCGTTACTTATTTATCAGAAACATTTTTAAATCTTCTTCTCACTAAATTTTATTTCTAAATAATCTTAAAGACCATCATATTTTTAAAGCAATACATTCCATTTTTTTTTAAAAAAATGTTTTGAATACCTTAATATAAGTTTAGAATCTTCACAATGCAAACAACCAACAAGGTCCGGCACGTTTGGTATATTTGGTAGATAGTTGAATCCCTGAAGCATGTTGCTAGATGTTCGATTTCTATGTGTATAAAAAAGACATTATTATCAATGGAGTTGAATTTAATGGAAGAGGTTAATTTCTCACAAGTCATAATAAAATGAATTAAAGTTTGAATTTCTATTAAAAGAAGTATCTATATTTAGTATGTAATTATATCATATCTCGAATATGATTGCTTCCAATAACTTACCTATATATATATATATATAGAAAGACAATGTTGAAAGAGGTAAACCCCACTTCTATGGTCTCTACTCCTTAAAAAAATATTGTATATACCCTTGATATATAATATCCCAAAAAGAATCTTCATAGACAAAAATAATAATAACTCCATTCATAATGTGATTGTAGATGGTTATATTATTAAAATAAGCAAAATTAAGGTATTAACAATGAGGCCTATTGATCCATGAATACTAAAGGATTGTGATACTATTTATCAATGAGATGTCATTATCTTTATCTAAAAGAGTTATTTTTGTTTTTAAACTTTTCTTGTAGGGTTTGGGGGTGTATTAAACTTAATTTTAAGTTATTTTTGCCCCTAAATTAAATTTTATGAAATGTTTTATATTTGGAATCAAATAAAACTCCTAAAGAAAAATCTTATAATAACAATTGACGGAATTATTTTGGATAAACTATTCATCACAATTTATGAATAAATTGATTTACTAAATGTTTTATGTCTTATATCGATGACATATTACTAGAAGTTTTGCGTACTTTTGTTTGATTGATCACAATAAAATTTCACACACTCTAGATGACATGCTTTATCAAATATTTGTGGCTGACATTCATGACAAAATAGAATTTAATTTTTTTGCGAAGATAAATACCATGAGGATTAGCTAAAGCTAATCCACGGGCGGTGATAGCAAAGATTGAAGGCTTGTCATGTCATTCTCAGCAATCAAAATCAAATCATTGAATAGTTAGCTTGAGGACTATAGAAAAGCCTTGGAGAGAAATTAGTCATTATCATTGTAATTACTATTAATTAATAAGAGCAAGTCATGTTTGGGACCCTATAAATGTCCTAATCCTACAAAGAATGATGATAATAGAGGAAGAATAGGTCTTTGCATCAGTTTATTTTGAAATACCGTGTTTGAGTTTTATGACATATAATCACGTTAAATAAAAATATTGAAAACATTCTCGAGTTAATCATGCATGATTCCATGCTGCCATTAGTAAGATCAGTTCATATAGTGAAAGTTTAAATTAATTCAGATGAGTGGTAGTAATTAATATCGAAGATTTTTCCAGACACGGACATATAAAATAAAAAAAGGAAGGATAGGCCTAAATGACAAGAACATAAGGCAAGGAATGAGTTTTATTATTTTTTTCTTTTTAAAAAAGACAATAAAAAAAGGTGATAAAGGAGATTCCAATAATTATGAAAGTTTAAAGAGCTTAATATAACATAATAATAGAACAGGGAAGTTGGAGTCGACAACCAATAAAGACAATTAGGCATTATGGAGGTTTTGAACCCAACTAAACTAAGTAATACCATTTAATATCACGACATATATGGAGGCTTTTTTTCCTTTTTTTTTTTAATCTAAAAGTCTCAAGGATTTTTTTTTTGTTTTTTTGTGTGTCTTTTTATCATGATCTAAATCAAGTGTTATTATATAATTAATAGCCTAAATTCAAGCCACTCATTATTGTATAAGTCATATGCCTCTTTCATATTTGAATAAAAACCCACTATTAGGAGGGAAATTGTGTGCTCAATTTGAAAATATACATTTTGGCAAAAAAAAATTGAAAATATATGTATTACTTATTTCAATTTTTTTAAAAAATGAAATATCTTAAAAGTAAGAGAAAACAATATCATATATGATCCAAAGTCACAAAATAACCACACTCACATGTATATATAATCATATGTCAAAAAATACTTCTATTTAGTAAAAACTATAACAACAGTATTTATGTGCAATATAAAATTTATAATAAATTTCATTATTAATAAGCTATGAATAGTGTGACTTATGTCAAATTTCAAATAAGTATATAGCTTATAATTTAATTCATTAAAGAAAATAAAAGAAGCAAAAATTGAATCACATCGAAAATCACTTCAACTTGGTGCCTGTCTGGCCTAATAGTCCAATTCAAATTTTGCAAATTTGACTCTTGAAGTTTGATTCAACTCCACATGATTTAAAGTGATCGGTCTAGAAGTTTTATTATGAGCTTAATTTAGCAAGATCTAACTAATTTATGAATTTATATTAATTACTTTTCCCAAAAAGTAATCTTGATTGAAGAAATATATGTTAGTTAGCTAATAACTGTGGGTACGGAAAATATGATTATGGGCAAAAGAATATGACAAAAATGAAGCACACCCTCTATTATTTTGTTAGTAAACAAAGACTTAGCACCAGCATTCAAAGACTTCGAGCAAACCCTAATTAATGAACACACATATACATCTTAACTAATTTATAATTAAGAAGAGAATCTCACGCTTTCACACCAGGAAAATATTCTCTCTAAAAATGTTGATAAATAATTTAAGTACGAATAATTGTGAGCTGCCAAACAAATGAAAAGAAGAAAAGATGTGAATAATCTATATATAAACTTGATTTCAATATTACTTGTTAAGAATTGGAAGTAATTGCTGAAAAATACCATATATTAACTCAAAACTTAAAGACTCTAATTTATTAATTATTTTTTTTATTATATATTACTTATTAAGTTTAATTTTATTTAATGTGTGACTTAATATGTTAGTTTAAGTTTATTTATATTTAAACAATCTAACAAGAAAAGAGGATATGAATACCTCTCCATGAGCGTTTGATTAGTGGAGATGGAGAGCAAATTAAGAAATGACTACTTGAAAGGACATGGGAAAATAAAAAAGTGGCTTTTTTTATTAATTTCTTTTGTGGGATTATGACGGAAAGGAAGGATAAAAGACGAGATTAGAGGGCATGGGGTTTTTGTTTATTTTATGTTTAACTCAAAGGTTGACAAAAGCAATGGGACATTTCACATCAAATTCAAAGCTTTGCTACATTTTCACTGTGGAATATG